GGGCCTCTCACTGTTGTGGCCTCTCCCGTTGTGGAGCACAGGCTCCGGACGCGCAGGCTCAGCGGCCATGGCTCACGGGCCCAGCCGCTCCGCGGCATGTGGGATCCTCCCAAACCGGGGCACGACCCCGCGTCCCCTGCATCGGCAGGCGGACTCTCAATCACTGTGCCACCAGGGAAGCCCAAGCTTAATCTTTTTTAAAAGAAGCATTCAAAAAACATTTTTCACAGGCATAATAGCAAACTACTGCTTAAACACAATCCTAACTAATGTAGATATATTAATGAATAAAAATATTTTGAACTTAACTTGTAATCTTTAGATAATGACGACTTACTTAAAGCAGATGGGGTGAGAGCCAAAGCTCTTTTCCTCCTCTCTGCTCCCAGTGATGGAAGCAGCTCAGGTTTATAGGGTTCACTCTCTTGTGATTGTAAGATTTTACTTGAAGAAAGGGCTCTTCGACATTACAAAGCTTGAAAACCATGTTATCTAAAAAGGAATAACCACATCCAGCTCATTGTCCTCACCTGGACCTGGCTTAGTGCTAGCAAAGCATTAAAAGGAACATCTTAGCAACATCTTTAGCTTCAGAGGATTTTGCCTAAATACTCACTGCTTCAAAGGGGCATCATCCTTAAGTCACAGCACTCCAACTAAAACTAAAAAGTATAGTGTTGGGAGAATTTAGCAGAACTTTAATATTTTTCAAATTGAGTAGATAATCATAATACAGTTATGTCAAAATATTGCTCCCCATGCCCAGATGACTTGTTTGGATGAGCAATTCTTATTTAGTATTTATTTTAAAATATGATTTGGTTTAGTCAAAATAACTGATCATATTTTAAAAAGCATTTCTTTTAAAATAGTTTCAAATGTTACCCTCCCACCTAGTCTTTTGAGACGGAAAGAAACACCCAGCTTTGTCCTTTCTTTTTTTTTTTTTTTTGGTGTGTGTGTGCAGAGAAGAGCAAAGATTTTACCAAGAGTATTCTGAATCTGTAATTTTATGGGCAGGTCAGTTTTAGGAATGGAGTGGTTGAGTATTAAAAATAGAAATAATGTTCTGAAAAAGATTTTTAATGAAAATGAAAAAATAGAACCAAATCACATTGACCTGTAGGTACAGAGCCACGTGGCAAGTCTGTAGGGCGGCGGGGTGCAGTGTGTCTGTTTCTTGTGTGATAGTTTCTTGAGCCCAAGGACAGCTTACATTTTTTTTTTCGTTTTATTAATTCCTGTGGATAAAACTCGGAGGCTATTTTAAGAGGTTTTCTGCACCTAGACATTTGTGTGAGTCCTGTATCTAGCCTGTGTGTTGTGTGCGTAGGCCATATGAAAGAGAATTTCACCTCAGATGCTCAGTTTGGTCACGCAAAGCACCTTTCTTCATCTTATGTTTCTACTTTTCCTTGGCTCACAGATTTCTTGCGATTGTTAAGTAATCTTTTCATCCTGTGCCAAAGACTTTCCTAAGTCTATAAAACATATTCCTTTTTTCTTCCTAGAGCCTTTGTGTGTTTACCCCACCTGGAGTCAAGGAAGGAAAACCCAGGCTCATCCCTGCTGGGCCCATCGCCCAGGGCACCACCACCTCTGCCTATGTGGCCAAGTCCAGAAAAACGTTGCTAGTAGAAGACGTCCTTGGGGTAAGTGGCTTTTTACGCTTTGTGACATTCGTAACCTGAAGTATTTAATTAAGAAAGATGACATATACTCTTGATGTTATAATTTAAGCCATTTTATAACAGCTTTAAAGCAAGATACAGATCAATAAATGCATTTGTATGTAAACTAATTCTTTGTACTCCAAGAATTATATCTTATGTACCCCTAAGATGTAGATTTGTGTAGTTGTTCTTTCAACATTTGCCAGTATAGTTAAGCATAAAAATGTATACTCATAGTCATATAGAATAGATGATTACTGTTTTATGTTTCATATCCTAGCAGGATACATATGAATGAGTCAGCTATTGCTGTGTGACAAACTACCCCAGATTTTAGTGGGGTCATACAGCCACCACTCACTGTCTCTGGATTGGGCCATTCTGCTGATCTGGGCTATCTTTGACTGGGCTTGCTTATGTGTCTGAGATCAACTGGCCATCACTTAGGAGCTGGCCAGTCTTAGGTGGCCTTCGTTCTCTGTGTGTGTCTCACCACCCCATCCAGTAAGGCTAGCCTCATGTTCTTATGATGGTGGCCGGTGTCAGAGAGAAGAAGTGGACACATGCAAGTGGCTTTTCAAGCGTCTGCTTACATCAAATTCACTGCCCTCAGGTTAGCCAAGCAAATCTCATGGGAGGCCCAGACCGAGTGTAGGAGGGTCTGACCAAGGCCATGGGTACAGAGAACAGGACAAAACAAGAGCCCTCAGAGCAGTCTGCCACAGTGCATGTGCACACTGTGATGAAATGTCACTGCATGAGCTCAGACTTTGAAACTGACAAGCATACAAACAAGTATATAGGTGTCATGAATTTGCTCTGAAAAAGTACTAAATTGGAGTCACAAAATCTAGATATTAATTTTGTTTTTGCCACTAGTTATCTGTATAGCCTTGAACAAATCAGGTTACTAGTTACTTTATCAAAAATAAGAAAAGAAAAAGTGCTAAAAATAAATGTTTCACAGTATAATGTATATAGACAACAATACTGTATTATAATCATCAAACCTGCTAAGAGACTAGATCGTAATTATTCTCCCCACAAAAAAGAAAAGATAATTATGTGGCTTGATAGAGGTATTAACAATGCTACAGTGGCAACCATATTACAATATATAAACGTATCAACGTGTTGTATACCTTATACTTCCACAATGTTATATGCCAAATATATTTCATTTCTAAGAAGTAAACGTAAAAAGTGGATACACTATAAGTTGTCATTTGAAAATGTTCTATTGTATGTATATGCAAGCTTTCAAAATATCTGTAAATTACAAAGTACAGATTTATACCAGTCTATTCATGAAAACCTTCCTGTAGACCACAGAAATTGAATAAATAGAATTGATGTTTTGATATTAATTCATTTGAGCTTCTTGTGTTCCTTTGAGTGATTTTGCTAAGCTAGAAAGTTAAGTCAAAGAACCGATTCATTTCTTATGATAGGTAATTGGTAATTATTGGATGATTTGAATATCTAATATGGGCCTTTGAGGGTCAGTTACAATGACTTTCATTAACATATGCTTTTGTGTTATTCTAACCTTAAAAATAGAAGGGAAAAAATTTTATACATGTAATTTCCTTCCTATGGCATTTACATTTGGAGTAATTTTCACTTGTGACGTTATACCTGTAAATCCCTTAGTTCTGGCACATACCAGGTGAGGAATAAATGAATGTTAACCATCATAATTACTTTCATTATTGCATGAAGTTATGTATATTCATTCACTAATTAAATTCTACTGTACAATGATAAAGAAACATTAAATCCATATTTGGGTATAAGTTCCACGTTGCTAAAGATAAGCATTTTCTTAAGCAGTGTTCATAGTGGCCGTGATCATTTGGTTTTCCTTTGAAAAGGACTGCTTATTACTGATGACGAGTATAAGGAATTTTCTGATAGAATCATAACTTGATGATTCCATTACTTTCACTGAATTTATATCTTTTACCCTTCTATCTTTTTAGGATGAACGATTTCCAAGAGGTACCGGACTGGAATCAGGGACGCGTATCCAGTCTGTTCTTTGTTTGCCAATTGTCACGGCGATCGGTGATTTGATCGGCATCCTTGAGCTGTACCGGCACTGGGGCAAGGAAGCCTTCTGTCTGAGTCATCAGGAGGTGAGGCCTGGACACTGCCTGTGAGGACTTTTAGGTGCACCTAGTTCACTGAAGGTGCTTATTAATATTGTTCAGTTAATAAATGATGAATATTTAATGAGTGAATATTTAAAACCGTAATTTGCTTAATAATATTTTGATACTACTACTAACAATTTTTTAAAACTTTTTTTTTTGTTTTGCAGTTGTTTAGAGAGGAAACTCACTCAATATAGCGATCTAGAAATTTATAGTAAGTTATTTTAGTAAGGATCCACTTTAACAATAAAAATAAAATGCCATATTGAGGACGGCTTTGGAGAGTTTTCACATTCTAGCTGTGACCTCTTAAAAATGCCCTCTTCCTAGAGTGTGTCCTGACTAGAAGCATCAAATCCATCTGGGAAACAATAACTTCCGTTCACTGTTCCCTGAACCGGAACGGCTCAGTCCTACTAAAACCAAACAGTATATGATCTATCTGTCAGACGTGGTGTTCGCCCAGGTCCCTCTGTGGCCTGCGCCATGCCGTGTGCACTTACCAAGATGACCCGTCTCTGCTGCTCCAGCCCCTTCCCCGCCTGCAGCCATGCTGGGCCCTCTCTTGCGCGCAGCCTGCGCCTCTGTTCTCCCTCCCCTTGCGCTGCGCTCATCCCGTACCCAGCCCCAGCTGCCTCCTTCGGGAATGTGCTCTAAGGTCACCCTCTCTGATCAGCCTTCGCTGAACACCGCACACAGACGTGAGCGGCTCCTGTCCCTCTGTCGTGCCTCTTTTCCGCTATAGCCTCGTCATCAGTCATCAGCCAGTATAACGTGCGCTTGGCTTTATTTTCTTTCTTGCCCTTCTCTCTGCCCGCAGCAGCTGTGAGCTGTTCTGTTGTTCATGCTGTACCTCCAGCATCTAGAACAGCGCCTGGTACCTAGTAGGCACCCAATAAATATTTGTTAGATGGGTGAAAAATCAAAGAAATAGAATAGCTAGAAGTTTGAGCACTTGTCAGTGAAGTCTGGGAAATACTTCCTCATTTTAAAGTGGTCATTAGAGGCCTTTTTAATAGTATTTTGGTTGAACTGAAAAATAATTATTTTATGTTAAAATCATTGGATGACAGCTCTCTTAATCAGTTTATCTTCCTTTTTAACCCAAAGTAGGAGGAACAAGAGAGCATTAAACTCAATAATAAAGAAGTGGGAAATATAAAAGAGAAACTCTATACATATTTGACTATTCACATTTGGCAAAATATTCAAAAATGCAATGAGCTTACAAAATTGTTCATATATGTTTGTGCTAGAGTCCTTTGCTGGGATGTCTGCATGTGACTGATAAAAACTTGCTTCATACTCTGTTTTTTTTTTTTTTTTTTAGGTTGCAACAGCAAATCTTGCCTGGGCTTCAGTAGCCATACATCAGGTTCAGGTGTGTCTCTGGGATGTTTTCACAGGGGCTTCCTAGGAGAAAAGGGTGTTTGAAGTGCAGCACTGGGGAATGGAATGGAGGTTAACAAGTAACCCAGGGCTTTGTTTTTGGATATTAGGTATTTTGTTGTTTCTAAAATGTTTGATCTATTCACTTATATTTACTTACTTCCTGCCTTAAGTATTTTCCAATTAATTATTTTTATATATTTACACATAATGTTAAATTATTTATGTTCCCTATCATGGTTTTTGTTTTCCACTGAAAGCCCAGGAATGACCTCCTCCTGGCAGTAACACTGATATTTTTATGACTCCATTTCCTAAATTAAAACATCCACTAAACGAAGTGTTATATGAAAACATTAATCTTAAACATTAATTGTTATTTAAGATACCTGATTCTCTTGAAAATGTGATCTAATTTGAAAGATCACAAACTGCATGGAGTTTTCCCGATGACTAGACTTCTAAGTTCAGGAACATGGCAGCAATAGAATTCTATTTTGTATCTTCCACTTTTTCTCATTTTGTTCCTTGAAGTCCATTTCAGCAAACTCAGGTTGATGAGGAGCTGTCTGATAGGGAGAAAATGTATATATGTTTTAGGATAATGGTATGAGAAGCAAGGGCTTCCTGGGCCTGACAGTATTAAATGTAGGTAGGATATGCACCCAAGTACAATTTTAAAAGCATTGATTGTGTTATGCCTTTTTAAATAAATAAGGTAAATAGTATTCTGGAATTTTTATTCTTAAATAAGCAGAACTTCCTTAAAATTAATAGCCATTATTTTGTATGGCAGGTATGCAGAGGTCTTGCCAAACAGACTGAATTGAATGACTTTCTACTCGACGTATCAAAGTAAGTGTTCATTTCTAGGGATGTGGTAGCTCTTATTGATCAACAGTTTAGATTAAGTGCAGGCTCTGACAGTGATAGATTACTGTCTAGTGCAGTCAGTAACAGAAGACCAATCTTTATTAGGCAAGTGGTCTGGTAAGTATGGTCGGTCGTATTTTGGATCATAGAGTTACATTCTCATCCACGTTCACTTTACAAGTGAAATATCGCAGATGTATGTGTGATGATCTTAATTTGCAAGTTGGTATATATTTTCTAAACAGACTCTCTAGAAGATGTTAGAGACTATCTAGAGAGATGCACTAAGTACTGATATTTCTATTTTCATAGGATAAAACTGACAGCAGTAGAAGGAGAGGAAATGTCCTAGTTTATTATTTTCCAAAAAGTCCTCTCTGGCCTTTTCAACAAATGTCAGTACATTAAAACAGACTCTTAATATTATCATTTTAATTATCTCATGTATAGTAGCTCAGATATCATTCTCCAGAAAATGCTCCATTCCCCTGAAGTTTGACCTAGAAAAACTCCCTTGGGCTGCCAGTGGAAGCAATTACAGATATTTATTAAATTTCAGGTTCATATTGGGTTTGCTTGCTACAGGGAAGATCTTGTATCTCTCTGACTCGTCTGCTTAATCGTTGAAATCGAAAACACCCCAGGACATGGTAACTTCAGGTCCCATCCTCTGACAAGTTAACTCAAGGTGTGGCGTACCTGTGCCTCCAAGGCCTCCAACACAACTCTGACTGCGTTCTTGCTCACGTGTCACCCTGGCACACTTCATAGCTAACTCATCACCAAGTCTAGTAATCCTCATCACTAATGATTCTGAAGTTGCTGCTTTGTGCTTTGGAATGTAAAATTAGAGAGGTATGGGACTGAGGGAGTGCTCTATTGATCCCCTAGGCCAACTGTCTTCTTTGAGATGGAATTAAACCGTGTCTCTGGGACACATGATATCACTATATCAGAAACACCTAGGAAGGGAAGCTGTGCATGTTCTCGTACTGATGATGTATCTGAACACTTTGCAGGTCTCCCACAGTCCAATTAAAACCCTCACCTTAAATCTGACACCTTAAATCTGTTCCCCAGTGGGAAACCCATTTGCTTCACCCTGTTCCTTGCAGGATATTCCTCAGTGGATGGTGTAACGAAGCATATTAGTAGCTTCGAGCCAGATGATTTCTCTTCTAAAGAAAAAAGGCATTGTTTATTGCTACAAGTTATCTTAGTCCTGAATATATTACTAAATTCTCACAAAACTAAACTGAAAGCAGTGCCTTGCCAATCGAGTCTATGTTAAGAGTATTTCTTTATAGATTCCCTATAACACATGCCTGTTGATTCATCCGTTTCTCTGGTCTACATTTTAATGTATGTACCATATGCCTCCAAAATATTTACGTGCAGTTCAAAATGATGAATATATATTTTGCTTGTATAAAGTTGTCAGGTCCTTGTCATTATTTGTATTCTGATATCTCTTCTCAAATGAATTGCCTTGCTTTCTTAGTACAGTTAAACTACATTTTAACTTTTGAGTTTTCCCAGTGATAATTTACATTTTTAGCATATTAATGAGATTTAGCAAATTTAAATATTCTTATTTTAGATCAAAGTTATTTATGAGGTATTAAGTTTGATGAAACCAATTTTATTTCTTCACAGTTTTAGTTAAATGCCCCATACTTTCTCTCTACCTTGAATACTTACTGATAAAATAATTACTTAATGCAGCCTCCGGAATTAGAATCCTTATACTAAAGTCAATGATAAACTTTCATTCCTCTCTTTAAAATAATATTATTGGTTGTTTCCACAAAAGGACAAAAATCAAACAACATATACCTTTCTGTTTTTTATTTAAATGAAGACAAAATTGGGAAATGTATTCAACGTTTAACATGTTCTTTATTCTAATAACATTACTTAAAGGTTTTATCTTCCTTTTTTTCAGAACGTATTTTGATAACATAGTTGCAATAGATTCTCTACTTGAACACATAATGGTAGGTTGCCTTCTGTTTGGAAAATGATTTGATTTAATCCTTAGATTCATGTCCTAATATGTGGTGGAACATTTTAATGTACGAGACATACATGCTGTTTTAAATATGATGAAAGGGTGGTGCTTAGTGATCTGGAGGCGTCGCCTTGATTTATTTGTCACTTCTGTTAATTTTGGAGGGGTTTTGAATAGTGTTTTGAAAAATACCTCAGAGTTTTTGATTATTTAGTGGAGAGCTAATCTGGAAAAACGTTTAGTTTCTTTTTATGATTTCTTCAGAATACCTTTTGCATAAGGTTATATTAGGAATTTCCAGTGGATTCTTCCTAATCTTGAGGTTCATTCTACTTAGTTTTAGTCATAACTATTTCTCTCTTCTAGAAGACTCACAGGCAACTGTGGTTGAAAGCCATATGAAATAGAATTTTTTTCCGCCACGTGTAGTGTTGCTGCTTTAGTGCTCTGGAGAGACTCCACTGAGGAAGTGGCTTCTAGTAGTCAAAGTGATGTGCATGTGTACCCCATGGGTGCCAGGCTGGCTTGCTCGGTGCTGTTCATGCCCTGTTGTCCATTTTGATAAATATTCTTTCTCCTTCCCATCTTCCTGGTCTTTCTCAAAATATAGTAATCCTGTGCCACAAGGGTTTTTTCATCTCCAGGTTTCTGATGTGCACTGTTCAATTTCTCTTTGATACCATGGCAGGCCAGGTATGGAGTGTGATATGCTCAGTGTCTTGTAGAAACAGACAGTTTACTGAGGGTAATATTAGGGGTTATTACTTTTACACATTCTTTCTGTAATTAATTACATTGATGATTTTACAGTTGACCCTTGAACTGCATGGGTTTGAATGGGTGCACTTATGCGTGGACCTTTGTCAGTACTAGATACTATAGAACTACACGATCTGCAGTTGTGGAATTGGCAGATGTGGAACCGTGGATAAGGAGGAACTGTGTATGTGGAGGGCGATGTAAGTTATACAGGGGTTTTTGACTGTGTAGAGGGTCGGTGCCCCAACCCCTGCCATGTTCAAGGTTCAGCTGTATTTGGACAAAAAAAGAGAAAAATTGATTACACAGTCAAAAAAAAATAACCCTTTGGTTGTGACACAATTTAAGGAATTTGTAAAGCAATGAAAAGTATTAAGAATATGAAAATTTGTAGATATAATATGGATCAACATAGAGCTTGTACAAGGAGTACAAGAAACACTACTGACCAGTTCTTGTATTATTAATATTATACTTTAGGAAACAGTTTTATTAGATATAATTCCTGTATGATACAATTAATCCATTTAAAGTGTTTAAATCAGTGGTTTTTAGTATATTCACAGACATTTGCAACCATCACCAGTCAATTTTAGGACATTTTCATTACTTCAGAAGGAAACTTCATTCCATTTTAGCTGTCACCGCTTTATCACCACATTTTGGCTAATGCAAATACTGCTCTTTTGAACATTTGGGTACAATTTTCAGTTCTAATACCTGTTTTCAGTTGTTTTAGGTAAGAGTGGATTTGCTAGGTCATATGGTTACCCTATGGTTAACTTTTTGAGGAACAGCCAAACTGCTTCCATGGCACTTGTATCATTTTACATTCCTGCCAGCACACGGGTTCCAATTTCTCCACGTTCTCACTAGCACTGGTTATTATCTTACTTTTTGATTATTGACATCATAGTAGATGTGAAGTGCTATCTCAATGCGTTTTTTTTGTTGTTGTTTTTTGGGGTTTTTTTGCGGTACGCGGGCCTCTCACTGCTATGGCCTCTCCCGTTGAGGAGCACAGGCTCCGGACGCGCAGGCTCAGCGGCCATGGCTCACGGACCCAGCCGCTCCGCGGCATGTGGGATCTTCCCAGACCGGGGCACGAACCCGCGTCCCCTGCATCGGCAGGTGGACTCTCAACCACTGCGCCACCAGGGAAGCCCCTCAGTGCGGTTTTGACTAGCATTTCGCTGGTGATGTTGAACATCTTGTCACGTGATAAAAGGTTCAGATTCATTGGCTGCTTTTTACTTTAATTTTTAGTGTTATCTTCTAAGATTTCATCATGTATTATAGATACCACTCCCTTATGTGATGTATGATTGGCAGATATTTTCTCCCATCTGTGTATTATCTTTTCACTTTCTTGATAGTATCTTTTGAAGCACAAAAGGTTTTAATTTTGATGAGGTCTAATTTATCTTTTGTTGCTCATGCTTGTGGTGTCATATCTAAGGATCCATTGCCAAATCAGATATTATGAAAATTGACTCCAATATTTTCTTCTAAGAGTTTTATAGCTTTAGCTTTTACATTTAAGGTTTTGACTTCTGTTAGTTAATTTTTGTTTATGGGGTAAGGGTCCAACTTCATTTTTTTGCATGTAGGTATCCAGTTTTACCAGTACCGCTTTGTTGAAAAGACTATTATTTCCCCTTTAAATGTGGTCTTGTTAGAATCAGGTGAGCGTAGACACATGGCTTTCTTTTTAGGGTCTCAGTCCTATTCAGTTGATCTATATGTCTAGCTTAATGACAGTACCACCATGTCTTGATTACTGTTGCTTTATAAAAAGTTTTGAAATCAGGAAGTGTGAGTCCTACAAATTTGTTCTCCATGTTCAATTATTTTTTTGGCTGTTTTGGGCCCCTTGCAATTCCATATAAATTTTAGAAACCAACTTGTCAATTTCTACAAATACTTCAGATGGGATTCTGGTAGGGATTTTGTTGACTCTGTGGATCAATTTGGGGAATATTGCCATCTTAATAATATTAAGACTTCCAATACGTCAACATGAGATGTTTTCCATTTATGTAGCTCTTCTTAATGTTTTTCAACACTGTTCTGTAATTTTCAGAGTAAAAGTATTGCTCTTATTTTGGTAAAGTTATTCCTAGGTATTTTACCTTTTAGTGATATTAGAAATGAAATCGTGTTCTTAATTTTATTTTCACATTTTTCATTGAAAATATATAGAAATAAAATTGGTTTTTGTATTTTGATCCTGTATCCTGCAACCTTGATGAAGTCATTACTTCCAATAGTTTCCTAGTGGATTATTCAGGGTTTTCTATATGCAAGATCATGTCATCCGTAATGAGTTATAGTTTTAGTTCCTCCTTTCTAACCTGTATACCTTTTTTTTTTTCCTCCCTTGCATAATTGTCCTGGCTAGATCCTCCAGTACAATATTGAATTAGGGGATGGTGTGTGTGGACATCCTTGTCTTGTTCCTGATCTTAGAGGAGAAGCATCCATTCTCCACTCTTTCACCATTAAGTAGATGGATTAGTTGCGGACTGTTCATAGGTGGCCTTGATCAGGGTGAGGAAGTTCCCTTGTATTCCTAGTTTTCTGAGTGTTGTAAATATTAATTGGACGTTGGATTTTGTCAGCGTCCATTTTCTCTGCATTTATTAAGATGATCATGTGTTTTTAAATTTTTAGTCTATTGCATTCCTGTGATGTATCTCTCTTCATCATGGTGTATGATTTATATTGGAACTACCTTAATTTAATAAAATCTTAAGCAGAGTTGATACCTTTAGCATATGTAGTCTTCTTATACAAAAACATTGTCTTATTTTCAATTAAAAATCTCTCTCGATTGAATGTGTTGACTTTGATTCCCCATATTTGCTAAGTTGTTTTTTTTTCAGTTTACAGTCTTGGATTTTCAAGAAAGAAAATTGTTTATAATGATATAATGAGAGCAGTGGTTCTACTTTTCCAATGCTTACACTATTTCTTTTTTGTTTTTTAATGTGTTCGCTAGGACCTAAGAACACTGTGGAAAGGAACCAGTGAGAGTGGATATAGTTTTCCTAATGTGCGTACTGTTCCTCAGTGGGGGGGTGATATTGACATTGTAGGCAGACCCGCTCCTCCTTACACAGTACTGGCCTGAGCTTTGCAGGTGTTCAGCATCTTTAACCTCTGAGAACTAAATGCCAAGAGCAACTCATCACCAGCCGGTCCACCACAAATAGAAATGCCTTCACCGTTTTCACATTCTCCATGGAGAGGTGGTTCATCGGCTAGTTGAAAATTAATGAATGAGACTTTCCAATTAATTTTTATAAATTTATGGGCACTTTAAATATTCTTCTGATCCGTACTTAAATTCCCTTCCTCATCTGTAATTCAATTAATGAATATTTTCTCCCACCCTCCCTCTCTCTCTCTCAAATCAGACTTGCCTTGATCTTGTTTGTTAATTTGGACTCTGGTGTAAAAGCCAGAAGACGTCAACTACCTAACTCAGATTAGTTTGAGAGAATAAAAGGAGGGATTTCTTGGCCCTTATCACTGAAAACCTTGAAATTTCAGACTTCTGTAATTGCCGGACCTGGGGCCTCAAATTATGTTTTCAGGAATATGTCCTTCTCTGTCTGTCCAGCTCACGTATGTGTGGTCCATGATAAAACACAGCATAATTTTACTTCTCCGTTTTTTGCATTTTAATCTTATATATTTTGGGGGCACAACCAGATATTTTAAGTCTTTTTTTAATTCGCTTTTTAAAATTACACCTGTAACACCTTACATATCATTTCCTAGTGAATTTTACAGCTTCGTTATAGTTTTAGTGGTTTCTTTGCTCATCACCTTTTCTTGTACCCCAAGTCTTCCCATGCTTTCTTGAATTTATCTATTTGTTTATTTTTGCTCAAGCTCATCTGTGTGCTTGAGAAATGTCTGTATTTTGCCTTATGACTGAATGCTAGTTTGACTTGGTAAAGAATTTTAGGTTTAAAACAAGTTTTCCTCAGAAATTTGAAGATATATTTCCACTGAATTTTAAATCCTCTGTTGCTGTCAAAAATTTTCTTCCACTTGTGGGGCTTCCCTGGTGGCGCAGTGGTTGAGAGTCCGCCTGCCGATGCAGGGGACACGGGTTCGTGCCCCGGTCCGGGAAGATCCCACATGCCGCGGAGCGGCTGGGCCCGTGAGCCATGGCCGCTAAAGGGAGAGGCCACAACAATGAGAGGCCCGCGTACCGCAAAAAAAAAAAAAAAGAAAATTATCTTCCACTTGTAAGTAAACCTGTGTGCGTGTGTGTGTGCGTGCGTGTGTGTGTCTGTGCGTGTGTGAGAGAGAATGTGTGTAGGAGCGGGGATGGCTTTCAGAATGACCTTCTGAGGCTTGGAGTCAATCAATATTACCAAGACATGCCTAGAATTTCTTTATTAACTCTTCTCCCAGTGTGTGAGTGTCATTTCAAACTGGAAGTTTAATATTCGGGGAGAATGAAAAAGTAAACATGTGTTTAGAGTCACTCATCTTAAAACAGAAGTCTTTCTTATTGCATGTAATTGTTTTCAGATGATTTTCTTGACTTTTCAACATACTCAGTAACATTGTCACCTAACCGTAAAACTTTGGTCTCTTCAAATATGTATACTTATGCTTTTTTTACCTAATTGTGTGTTAATAATTATGATAACATGTCTTTGTCTTGTTCATAACTTTAATGTCTTAACCTTAATTGGTTAATTCTGATATTTTATCATTTTGTATGATGAAGACTGATATTTTCACATATTATCAGGATGTGTATGCATACCGATATATACACATGTACATATATATTTTTTCTTCTATTCCCATTTCACTAAAACTTTATCATGAATAATTACTGAATTTCATTACATATATTTTTTGACAGCCATAAAGACAATCATATGATTTTTCTCCTTTGTTTTATTGCTTTATGGACTATAACAATAGACTTTACAATACTGGACAGTTATGAATAGAGTGTAATTTTAAAATATGGAAATTTTAAAATATTCCTGTTTGACTTGCTAATATGTGTATTTATAATTTTTCTTCTGTTTCCAAGGTAAATTGGTCTGTGATTTTCTTTTTCATAGTATCTTTGTCAATTTTTAGTATCAGTGACATAGCAGGGGTTGTAAAAATGACTGGAGAAGTTTTGTTCTGTCTGAACTTACAACAATTTAAATTAGATGGGAATTTATTCGTGAAGACTCTTAAGTAATTCGTATTTGAAATCATTTGGGCCTGCTGCCTTTTATGGGGATAAATTATTTTTACAATATTTCAATTGTCTTTATGATTCTGATTCCATTCAGATTTTTCAACTCCTTCTAAATTCATTTCCTTTTTCTAGAAAATTGTCCATTTCATCCAGATTTTTATAACTATTGACCTAAATATGTGCCCAAGTATCAAGCAGCCAGCATAACCACTAAGGATGCAGATGTCACTGTAGATAATTTATTATGACTTAATAATTCAAGCTCGCGTGAGTGTGCAGAATAGACGGGTGATGGTCCTGGGATCGCCAGCAGTGACACCCATAGCTCCCTTCCCGCCGTCACGTTGTCCCTCCTCCTCAAGTATTTATTGAGAGCTCTTATATGTTCTAACCTAAGGGCTGGCAAATTCTTTTTAAGGGCCAGTAGTAAAGTTTTATGCTTCATGGGCCGTACTGTGTTGCAGCTACTCAACGCTGCCTTTGTAGCAACTGTGAACCATGCATAAAGGAATGCGCGTGGCTCCATCCCAGTGAAACTTTATTTACAAACACAGGCAATGGGGTGGGTTTAAATGGCCAGTGGACTTTAGCCGTCCTCTGCTCTAGGCCAGGTTCTGGGTGCTTGGGATACCGTGGGGGAAAGGAGGCAGTTTCCACTGCCAAGGACCTCATCAGTCGGCTTGTGGCTGAGACAGGTCACCTGGAAATTCTGACACTCATAATGCCCAGTACTTGGTCCATGGCGTATAAGGCACAGCCAGTGTTTGCTGAGTGAATGAGTGAATGGGCTTATAATAGCAGGAAAGACAAAGATACAATATGAGAATGAACCAGGGTACCTAACCCACTCTGATTTCTTTTTATTTAATCTACAAGGTATTTTTACATGAGATCATATGTTTTCCTCTGGCCACAAGGTGGCCTGTGTCCCTTTTGCACAGACTTTGTGGTGGCTCCTTTTCTCTGAGAAGTAATTCTTTTAATCTGAGCAATAATTTCATGTCTATCATCTTGAAGTTGCCAGAATTCTGAATATGGGGAAATGCAATTTTTTGTGACATGACTGTAATCCCAGCCCACTGGGGACAGTGAGAAATGTTAGGCATTAAAGACGTACTTGTTGAAGGGAATTGATGAACAAATGCATGACAATATGAATCCACAATTGTCCATTCAGAAATGGTAAGGCATGTTTGATATAAGAGCTTAGGCCATGGAAACAGCTAGTATGAGTTCAAAGACCAGATCCGTTTACTAGCCACGTGATAGCGGACAGGTTAAGTTACTTGTCTGTGCCTCAGTTTTTCTAATGTGTAAAAAGGAGGTTAAGTTTCCCCTGAATTAATATTGTTATTGTGAGGATTCAGTGAATTAATGCACATAAGTCTATAAAAACTATCTGGCACATAGTAAACACTTACTAATTGTTACACATTATTGTTAGTGCAGCAAATAAAATGCAGCTGATGTAAATATGAACACCGTGTGTCTTATTGGACACACATTTCATACTTTTTACAACTGGTATGTTGTAAACGCCAGCCAGTCAGAATGGATGCTGGCCTGAGAGCTGACAGAGGCTCAGGCTAGGGCATCAGGGAGCCCTGAGAAGCTCTGGAAGAGTAGCCAGGGTGGCAGACAGGCTTTCAGGGAGAAAGGCCAGTAGCTGCTTTCCAGCCCACCCAGGAGTGTTGTAATATTCCAACATCTGCCACCACAGTGTGGGTGGAGAGCAGCTGCCAGTGTCAGCACCTTGACAGTGACAGAGAGTATTATTTTTTGTATTTATATGCCTATGTTTATTTAATTATAATGCTAATTTCCTACCCAATTACAGTATAGACTATCTGAAATTAATATTTATTTCTGATAAAGTTTACCTGTAAACTCTGTGAATCTCTCATCGGCTTACTCTTGTTTTCTCGTTTCCCTTTAGATATATGCAAAAAACCTGGTGAATGCCGATCGTTGTGCGCTTTTCCAGGTAGACCATAAGAGTAAGGAGTTATATTCGGACCTTTTTGATATCGGAGAGGAAAAGGAAGGAAAACCTGTCTTCAAGAAGACCAAAGAAATAAGGTACAGCTGGAAATAGCGTGTCGGTCGCTGCGCTGGCGGCTGTGCAGGTGCTCTGTTACCCACTTGTCTGTGCCTATTCACAGGTGTGCTGACAGTACTTGTCATACTGTGATATCATTCCCACCAGGACCCGCCTCCTGAAGGTAGTGCTTCTGGGAATGACCTTGCAGTGCCAGCGAAACCGCGCCTAGGAAGCTTTAGCGTCACTCCTGGAAATGCCGTCTTCCGGAGGCGGTCCTTTTGGAAATCATGTTGGAAAAACTTACTAGTGCTGCCAGGTAGGTAAAGGTGCACCCCACCTGGAGTCTGCAAGGTTTCCTGTGTCTAGGAGCAGGTGTACTTAAACAATCCGGACCCCACCCTTCCCAGCTCATAGCGCTGTCTCAGAGTCCAGACCATAGTGGAAATTGACCTGGTATACTTGGTAACTTCAGCACATTATTCTATACCCAACAGTTGGCTCAATCGATCACAGAGAACACTTTTCTTGCATCTTGAAACTGCAGCCTTCATTCTTTAAGTGGCAGCTGTTGTCACTTAGGTGAACAGAATGGAGTTTGGCTGGTAGAGGTGCGGTGGCTCAGTCCTATGACAGTCTGGGCACCCACAAGGGGTACTGTCACAGAACTGCTAAGAATCAAGCGTAACATTCAGAAATTGTAATTCTTTTAGATATTTGCATTTCTTTTGCTTTATATTGATATATATTGTTTAACTACTTTTCCGCATAGTACTCTAAAGTACCTTGGTAGTTACAACTTGCTAGTAAAATGCTGTTCCTTATTAAGAAGAATTGCTATTCACTTGGGCCGTCTGTCATACAAGGAAACATGGAATGTGGTCTGCACTGGGCCTCACTACTGCCCACCACTGGGTGCTTCCCATTCTATCGTCCTGGGGTAATAGAACCTATATCCCATGCTCACGTAACTCTGACTTACAGGCACCATTTAGGTTTTTTAAGAAGTTGTTTTAGTTTTTGTTTGTTTGTTTAGAGCTCAGTAGATCAGTCTGGATATAGTCATTTAGGTAAAGTCATTTCTCTTGCTCAAGGTTTGAGTGTTTGTAACAGTGCTGGCATCGATCTCATTTTGAAGATGTTTACTTGGGAGCCTGTATTTACAAGTGTGGGAAAGAAAAGTGAGGGGGATCTGGCTGGCTGTAGCTCTCTCGGCTGACCGAGCGATGCCAGCCATTTATGTGAGGACTGGTCCCTCAGTTATGGCTTCCACTGACCGGAGATAGCAAACCACACCGAGCTACTCCTAGACCAAGAAAATAAGCATAAACCATGAAGTGGATTCTGATGCTCTGCTCAAGGCACTCTAATTTGTTGTGGTCATGTTGTTCAAAGCACAAGAAAACTGGGGCGAAAACAACCTCGCATTTTATGCAGTGCAAGGTTGGGTTCACTTTTTGGTGTTTTAAGAAATTTAGTTCTCTTTGGTGTCAATTCTCTTCTGAATTTTCCTTAGGGAAATCCTTAGGGTGGAGCTTTATTTCAATAATGATTATTTTCTGTAATGCTGAAAATGTAATATTATGGAAGTAATTTTTGAGCTATTGAAATATGTAGATATTGTGATTGTAATCATCTTAACTAAATTTTGAATGAATCCATGTTTGATTATAATATCGTAATGAGAAAACTATAAATATAAGAAGATTTTTTAACATCTTTATTGGAGTATAATTGCTTTACAGTGTTGTGTTAGAATATATTTATGTATAAAAATGCTGATATTAGATATCAAAACATATTTAAGTGTAGTGAGATAATGCCTGTATTTTGGCTGTTTTTAAATTTAACAAATTAGAGGAGTAAAAATACTACAAGTTGCAAATTGTGTTATTTTGGTTTAGTACTTGTATTGCAAATGCCTTAAAATTCAAGTCCTGTGTCTCAAAGATCACAGATAACCTGTGGGTTTGGTTGTATGTGTGGTGGAACGTACCCTGGCGTTGACCTGCATTCTTGTTTTTATTGTGTCACTAATATTTTAAGAGTGTTGGCAAGTTATTGAACCCATATGGGTCTCAGTTCACAGTGAGAATTAATTCAGAAAATTTATGTTGAAGCATCTTGTAAATTATAAGGTATTTTGCAAATATAAAAGATTATTATTGGTCAGTGCAGGAGAATGCTAGTTAATTTTTCAATTTCAACTTGTGATTCAGTATAATTTAATACATCGTGAATTATATCTTAAAACAAGGTTCTCAAGTGGTTACTATGCAGTGTTTTTATGCTTTACCTTTATGTATTTTATAATAATATGATTTAGAGTATGTAAATGTAAAACTAATATAAGCACTTAAAGTAAAACAATCTGTTTTATTCAGTATTTGGTGGTACTGAAATATCTCAAATTATTTTACATCTGTATTTTAATTAGCATGTTCCTCTTTTTTATATGTGCAGGTTTTCAATTGAGAAAGGAATTGCTGGTCAAGTAGCAAGAACAGGAGAAGTCCTGAACATTCCAGATGCCTATGCTGACCCACGCTTTAACAGGTAAGAAGGAGTTTGTGTCTTCCGTCGGTTTCTCCTTTTGGGTCCCGCTTGGCCGAAACCTCTGAGGTGGAGCCCTAGTTCTTCGTGTCCCAACTCAAATTTTTTTTTTCCCCACTCGGTGCTGTTATACTGTCTTTGAACCAGCTTATTATCAGTAGTCAGTGTTTTCAGGTATTTATCAATATAAAATGATGGATTCTAAACCATTAATCATCTCCAGTTTCAGGGGTTTGAAATGTTATAAAAATAACTAAAAAGCAAGAGTCTAAATTTATAAAGTTACTTTTCTTCATTATAGTGTCATCATTTTGTCCTGAGCATATTCTTTATCAAACAATACCTTCAAAGGCTGTAACACATAGTGATAAAAGTACTTGTTTTGAATCCTGGTTCTGTCCTTTATTGGCTCTAGAATGACCTGGAGTAAGTTACTTAATCTGGAGCCTCAGTTGTTTTCTCATCTTTAAAATGGACACAGTAATACCTATTTTGTAGGGTTTTTTTTTTAAGATTAAGATTTTAAGATTTTTAAAATATTCATAAAAGGTCTGGCAACTTTATATGACCCAAAGTAGGAACTCAATGAGTTGCAGCCTTTATCGGATATTATTGAAGTGGATATTAGGATTGCTTATAAAGATTTTTAATTTTGTTCTGAGTGTCTTTGGAGAACTAGAAACCAGTTTATATAATTCGATTTTAATAAATGTCTCAAAATTGAAATCCCAAGGTTGACGCTCTGACCACTGAAAGTAATGGCTCACATGTCTTGGCAGCAGTGCTCTGTGCATTCAGACACTGGGCTTCCTTCAAGAGAAAATTAAATACCTTAGGCAACAGGAGGCTTTTCAGGCGTCTGATTGATTAATGTCAGATATTCATGACTCGCATATCAACACAGCCGTATCCCCGTAACAGATTTTATCAATATGTGAAGAGTATGCTGAAAATCTCAGGTTTTTTCTTAAAGGAACAAACTTGCTATTAAAGTACTTAGATATTGAAAATATTTACATATCCTTATATAAAGCCTTTATATAAAAATGTATGGATCAACTATTAAGAACCTGAAAAGGCAAGCGACAGATTGTGAGAAAATATTTGCAAAATATATACGACTGTTCTGAAAAACTCTCTTGAAAACGGAACACGTTCATTAGAATATTTTTGAGAAGGTTTTAATAAAACACTTGCAGATGTCACGTTGTCTTTGAATTTAGACGCTAACAGTTCCATTACAGTTAGTTGTAAGAGAAGCAAAAGTGAGTTGAGATTTACGATAGAACGTGTGGTTTATTTTCTTCTGCCTGCTCTTTCTTTTGTCGTCTTGCTCCTTGACTCTCGCACAGAGAGGTGGACCTGTACACAGGCTACACGACCCGGAACATCCTGTGCATGCCCATCGTGAGTCGGGGCAGCGTGATAGGCGTGGTGCAGATGGTGAACAAAATCAGCGGTAGTGCCTTCTCTAAGACGGACGAAAACAACTTCAAAATGTTTGCTGTCTTTTGTGCTTTAGCCTTACACTGTGCCAATGTAAGTAATACTTTTTAAACACCTCTTTTACTACTCAATATTAAATTTTATAACCTTTTAAATAAAGGTTGTTTTTTTCTTCCCCCACTTCTTTTAGAAACCCCAAACAGCGATTCCTGGTTGTGCATGTTTTAGGAAATACCTTAAAATGCCTTGGAAGAAAAAAAATCTCCTAATTTTTACACTTATTTCAGTGTGTGAATTTGTTAAAAAGAAAAATGAAGTTAACCTAAGGGTAAAACGTTCGAATGTAAGATTTACATTTCCTGATAATCTACTGATGCGCATGAGAGGGTTATCCAAACCCTTAGCGTTTGTCACTTGTACCCCACTTGAGACTCTTGTACACAAAAAGAGAGTAATGACTCATGTCTTAACACCAGCCAGGAAAGTTTCCTTTGTGAGGAAAAGTGAGGCAGCCACTCAGCACGTTTGTCAGATGCCTTGTAGATGTTAACTCATTTAATCCTCACAACAGCCCAACCCTGTTTACTGAATAACAAGATGAGGTTCCCTTTATTTTATGAAGTCTCACTTTAAAACAGTTGAACGTATCATCTTTCTTTTAAATTTTTATATTTTAAATGAATTAAACATTCAGTATTCTATAAACTCCAGTAATCCTCTAATGACATCACTGGAATTTTGAAGTTAAGGAAAATTTTAGTAACCTTTATAAAGCCAAATCAACATAAATGGGAATTATCACCTTAGTAGTTTAGAGAAACTGTCTTTTTGGAAATAGGACGGAATTCCATAGGAGCAAGCACATAACTAATGGAAACAGTTAAAAGAGAAACAAAAATGGCAAAAAAAAAAAAAAAAGAAAAGAAAAATACTCTGGTGACTAGGGATAACTGTTTACAATGCGATTAGTGCTGTTTAGTAAGAGCACCCGTCCCCTCTCTGCATCTCCTGGGCCCTCGCATGGGGATATTTATTGTTACTCGGCCCATCGGAAATAAACTAGCGCAGTTGTCAGATACTTCTTACTTCAAACATTTTCTGTACCGATGTATCTCCTCATAAATAAAAATATTGACAGTATACTTTTTTTTTTTTTTTTTTTTGCTGCACCACTCAACTTATGGGATGTTAGTTTCCTGACCAGAGACTGAACCCGGGCCCTTGGCAGTGAATACGTGGAGTCCTAACCACTGGACTGCCAGGGAATTCCCTACAATTGTTCTGTTTAGTTTAAAAGTTTCAGAGAATGTAATTTCCAGTATATTCTAAATATTGATTTTCATCATTTTTAAATGTATTCGATGGACTCTATGTATTAGAACTTGACATTTATTATATTTTTTAAGTCCACTAAAAAAACACAATGACTAGCTCTTAACGACTGAAAAATTTAGCATCATTCTTTTCTCTCTTTGAACATGTGTTTCTATTATGCCACAAAAGTTTATTCTAATATAATATATTTTATGCTTTATTTCGTTCATTACCCTAGGATAATAGTCTAAAACAAACATGTATAAGAAGGATTACAAATTAATTTTGACCTATAGTATTATTTCATTATTACTATATATGTGGATCAAAGCAACCATGTTATTAAATTTTGATAATTATCAAAAATGAAAAGTACACATTATTGGAAACTGTTGTTTCTTAACGAGATGGCTGTGGCTTAGAACAAAAATAGTTAATGTACCCATTCTTAAATTTTACCTATCATTAGAATGAAACTAGGCTTGCCATAAATTTTTTACCCTTTTTATTTTGAAATAATCTCAGACAGAAAGCGAAGTTGCAAAAATAATACAAAGGATTTCCTTATACCTTTACCCATGTTCCCCCAAATGTTAATATATTAAGTGTTAATATATTAGCATTTTTGCTTTGATATTCTTTCTTTCTCCTTCGCTCTCCTTCGTTCATAGGTATCATTTTTTCTCTGATACATTTGAGAGTATGTTTCAGACAATATGTCTCATAACCCCTAAATGCTTCAGTTTGTATTTTTTACAAACAAGGACATCTTCTTTTTCTACTGCATAGTTAAAAATAAAGAAATTCACCTCGGTACTGTATTAGTTTGTTAGGACCGCCATAACAAATACCACAGACTGGGTGGCTCAAAGGACAGAACATTATTTGTCCACAGTTCAGGTGACTGGAAGTTAAAGGCGAGGGTGCTGGCAGGTTTGGTTTCTTCGGAGGCCTCTCTCCGTGGCTTATGGATGCCTTCCTCATCCTTGTGTCTTTGCGTGGTCTTTTCTCTGTGCAAGTCTCTGTTCCACTCTCTTCTTCTTACAAGAACACAGGTCATGTTGGGTTAGGGCCCACCCTAGCGACCTCATTTTACCTTAATCACTGCTTTAAAGTCCCCATCTCCAAGCACAGTCACATCTAAGGTACTGGGGAGTAGGGTTGCAGCATATGAATTTGGGGGGACACAATTCAGCCCCTAACAGGTACTGTACTGTTGTCTAATCTGCAGACCCCTTTAATCTCCTTTAATCTGGAGCCCTTCCTTACTCTGTCTTTCATGAGCTGGGCATTTTTGAAGTGTATGGGCTGGTGTTTTGCAGAGTGTTTCTTTGGGGTTTTGTCTGGCATTTCCTCATGACTGCATCCAGGTTATCGTTTGACAGGACTCTCGCAGATACTGTGTTCTCGTGGCAGCCACCACGGGAAGGCTCGTGGCCCATTGCTGGTGATGTTGACCTTTACCACTCTGTAACGGAGGCATCTGCCTGGTTTCTCCACTGAAACTGTCCTTGCCCCTCTTTTCACTATTTTAGATGGGAGTTTACACATAAGCCTCGATATCCTTTGTGCCCTCTCTCTCTTTGCATATCAATACCTCCGTGAAATGCCACGGAATTCATTGCAGCCATTCCATTTCCATCTTTGCAACTTTGTTCTTTGACGTTGAGAAATGTGGCCCCCACTACTCAGCGTCAGTTTTATTTGTCCTTGTCGCTTTTATTTTTAGGGAAGCCATAAGAATTGTCTTCATTTTGGGTAGATGGGGACAGGAAGAGTTTTATTATGGCAATTACTCTTAATCTGAACACCACCTGAGCTAAGAGGCCGAAAAGTACTGACAATTCTATCACCAAAAATTATTTTCAATGATTTATCAGCTGAAAATTTATTTAGGTCCACCTTCAGTGTCTTATGAAATCTTTAGAAGCCACTTTTAGACCTTATTAACAGCAATATTTTAAAATTTAAATTATCTCTTTGCTTTAAGAGGTTTTTGTATTAGTGCAATTTGAGAAAGGGGTGATTTGAAATGGGATGTGGGAAAAGGTCATTTTTAGGTAAACGTACGTGTGAAAGTTAAGGACGTGGAAATTGATCCTCTTATAATCTATCCATGTCTTCATATATCCCTTGAAGAATTACTGTGCACTTCCCAGAATACATAAATGTCAGTTTCAGTACTATGGAATTGATTCAGCTGTGCTGTGAGATGAGCTAGCCCAGTGGGTTCAAAGCTCTTCTGAATACTGATTGTTGCATCATGAAACCTGGACTCAGTCACGATTAAATGATGATACCAAGCTGAATACCAAACTGAATCAAGAAAAATAACATTCCTTCTGAAACGTCATGAATAAGTTAACAGGCATTCTATTTTTACGTTGATTATTTAGGATAAAGTTAGTGGAGCTCATTTGTATTGAAATAGACTTGTAATTTTTTTTTTTTTTTTTTTTTTTTTGCGGTACGCGGGCCTCTCACTGTTGTGGCCTCTCCCGTTGCGGAACACAGGCTCCGGACGTGCAGGCTCAGCGGCCATGGCTCACGGGCCCAGCCGCTCAGCGGCATGTGGGATCTTCCCAGACCAGGGCATGAACCCGTGTCCCCTGCATCAGCAGACGGACTCTCAACCACTGTGCCACCAGGGAAACCCTGTAATTTTTATAAACACTTTGAAACTCACCAAAATTATTTCTGCTCTCCAACAATGACAGGTAGTGTATGTGCCCCGGTTGTAGTAAGTCATCGCCCGCTGGCAGACTCCGGATGTAAAACTCTCCCAGGTTGAGCAGTCTCAGGGCTGGTTGCCTTTGAAGGTGCATGTTGAAATCCAAGTAATGCAGCTTCAGCTCCCTGTGGAGTTAATTACCACTTCTTTTAACTGCAATATTTCTTCTCCTCATGAAAGCTTAAAAAAATTATATAGTTTTTGACAGTTTCTCCAACTCAAAAAGAGTAACAGCCTCTGACGCTGCAGCTTCAGGGTACCTCCTTTTCTCCGCTTCCCTTCCCTGGCCTTCCAGTCTGGGGTTATTTCTGTTCCAATTCAGAAAAAAGACCAATTTACATACCTTCTTTAAAGTAATACTTGCTTTGTTGAAGCAAGCATCCTTCTAAAGAAGAAAGAAAAAGCAGACAACTCCCAATTTATGTCAGTTTCAATAAGCCAGCAGTTGGTTTCTTCACAAGAGAGTTTCTCAGTGCTTTCTTCAGCTGAGGATGTCAGATCGTAGACCTCTAGGGTAAAGGCCAAGACCTGGATTCCTGTCTCCACTCGGACGCCTAGTGATGTTTCTTTCAGCGAGTCTGCTTCGCAGTTTTGAACTTTTATTTCCCCAAGCATCTTACGAAGATTCGTTAAAAACAACAACTTGTATTAGCATTGTCCCAAGCAATTAATCCTGTCCATGGCTCCCTGCTTTACCTCAGTGCTCTACTTGTTTCTAGAGAATATACAAGTGCCTTGTAATCGCTGGCTGCTAAGTCAGATTAAGCAGGTTGGTCCTGGGAAATTCAAAATATTTCTGCTCCCGAACAGATTATTATACCCTTAACAGGAGCATTTTACCACATGTGAAAGGCTTCTAATACCGAATGTGACAATGTAAGAGCATCTCTTACTGTTCAGCTCAGTGGTCTTGTTCGAGTGGAAGGCCTGTCCGGGAGGCATATGTCTTTATTCTTCTTTAGTTCATCTGTAGATCTCTTAGGTTACACCCCTTTTATTGGATTAAAGGGGCACGTCTCTGACTGGCAACATCTCCATTTTATTTTTG